TCGTATTTGATCCCAGTTGATTGTCTTTCCCTCTGTACAGTGTGGACAGCAAAATCCAGGCACGGGTGGAGGAAGATAAGAGAGCGCCGTGGATCCGTCTGGGCGGGGCACTAGATCATTGAAGGACTTTGCAGCAGGCATGCCGTGGAATCGTGCTATCGTTTTTCGACGTAGCTTGGCAGGCACATAGTGGCAGGTCCGCAAGTGAGTGTCTAAACCGGTAACAGGTACTGCGGTGCAACAAGGTGTGCAGATAATTACTTTCTCGCTAGCGACGAACGTGACGTAGTCTAGAGCAATCGGCTCATGTTCCTGTAGCGTTTAGATAGCGAGCTTAGCAAGTTGGCAACTGACATTATATACGATTTGGTTAGCAATAGACGCTGGTGTTGACAAAATCCAAGTTGCCGCCATCTCTACGCTTTGAACACAACAAAAAACGAAAAACAGAAACAAACGCGTCTTAAGGAGCGTAGCTTTATTATGCGTCCGGCTGTTGTAGTATATAATAGAGCTAGCGAGATACGCTATACCTAGAGCACGTAAATTAAGGGGTACCGCCACGCTAGACTGTAACAAGAGAGAATTAGCACCTAGCTCGCGTTGCATGCACGCGATCTTGGGGCGGGGTGTGTGATTCCTTAATTGGGATGTTTGAGGGGTCGAATCACAAAAGCATCATATACTAGGCTTACAATTGCGGTATGATGTTGCTTGCATATGAAGACGCCAAAGTCTTCTAGAAAGCAGAATATATCAGCGCAATTGCTCAATGATACTCGTGATCCCCTCTTACGATACTGGAGCGTGCTATCCGGATCTCCGCCATTGCTGTTCGTCAGCGCTTCTCCACAAGCAGTCTTGCAGAGTTTTTGCATCTTGTGCTCGTGCTCTAGGGCTGCAAGATCTGCTCGTAAAGCATTGATCTTTCGCTGTACTGGACTCATGCTCTCATCCGCATCGCGCTTTCGCTTCCGAGACTGCTCATCTTCTGCAACAGCCGAAGTATCGAATTGTGACATTACAACGTCTGGAGAAGGCGCGTGTGTTTGTGCGATCGTCTCCTTCGTTACCGTTTCACGAAATCTCTGAGCTAGTCAGTTTTCTTGTTGTGATCTAGCTAGTCACTTAGGCTACCGAACGGCTTTGCTCGCTTAGCAGGTGTTCCTTTTCTTCCGTCTCGATATCCTAATCTTTTCTTGTCTTTGTATATTTCCTACCACTGCCCTCACAGCAGCTGTTGACTCCCCCTCTTGTTAGTCTAGCTGAATGTAATACATTCTGGTCCTAATGCACGTCACAAGGGTCGCTGCTCAGCCTGCGCTTGCTTCGTCGCAGCGGTCCCCTTTGAAGCCGTCTTGCCTCTGCTATCTCTTGGTCTCCGCTGCCCAACACGACGGGTTCCTTATCTAACACACCGACATCTGCTGCTTGATCTGCCGGCTTCGTTGTTAGCGTCACTGCCTCTTGCATCTGTTCATCTAACGTGCCCGTATTTAGTTCTCTGTCTATAGGTATCTCCTCAGTGATCTCCAGAAATCGATGCCAGATAAAGCTGTTGTCGAAGTAGCGGTCAATTAGCTCTAGCTACAGTCTAGCTAGATAACCTCTTTCGAGAGCGTAAGCGCTTGCATAAATCGAAGGGGTGTGGCCCGTCTGAAAGGCCAATAGGCGAAGGAAGCCATCTCGGTCCTTTAGGACGTTCGGGTCGAATGGCTCCAGCAACGTCGGAATGTGCTTCTTGCTAATAGCAACAGCGACGTGACGATAGATACTCAGCTAAAGTCGAATAGGACAGTCTGGCGTAGCCTGCTCTAAGCTCTTCGAGCAGTCAGTCGCACTAAAGCAACCTCTAGGATGACAGCTCAAGGTAAAAAGATGCAGATTCGTCTTTGTTTCCGCATCGACGAGCTTCAATTGCCGAAGGAGAAAGTCGGTGAAAGGCCTTATATAGGCAAGGTATAGGAACAAAGCTCGCTCTACTGTGGGACAAGGCACTCGAACGATGTAGAACGAGTGATTCGCTGTCGTAGACACTTTGTTGTAAGCGAAAAGTAGCATGATGCGTCCTTTGTGTATCACGATGTTACGTTGTACAGCAACAGTATTCGCCCAGCGTATAATGCGGAGCTCCTCGCCCCTGGCGGGCATGCCACTAGTCATGTGGATTCCCGCAAAAAGGAGTCGACTGAAATTGTCACGTCTCTGCAGATACGCCAGCGCTCGCTTGCGTCCATCGCCCTGCAGTGCTAGCCTCCCTTCTCGAGAAGAGAACGCTCGACGGTAAAGATGCTTAAAGCTCATTCGTAGATTGTTCTCAGGCTCCGCTAAAAATGAATAGCCCGATCGATAGCTTGTGAGTTCGCCTTTGATCCCATTCAAATCGACATCAGGCCACCAGTAAAACATCAGCTCGCGAGCTTCCCGACTAATCCTATCCAGAAGAGAGTGCACCGTAAAGCGCAACTGTACTAGGGTGATCTGGGATCCGTTGATCTCGAGCATCTGGCCGTCAGGCGACCAGGAGATGTTTGTCTTCCCACCTTCCCTCTTTGCTATAGCTCTGCCATGTTGGAGGCGCTCGATAAAATACCCAAGAGGTGCGAAGGTACCGCGTTGGAGATACCTTGGCCGGATCTCTCTCAGGAGTCTTGACCCCTAATCTGGATATGTCGAGCGTGCCTAGAGGGGAGGGTCCCACGAACTGTAGGCTCGCGACAGGAGCGCATACTCCAGTGTGACTAGCCTCCCTACCCAGATCAAGGCTGAGAGATACGGTGTATAGTCGTACGCGGTACGGAGAGTGAGCTTATACGGGTGCATCCCAAGCACACCAGAGAAGTGAATGACTGCTTTAACGCCCGGATCGCCGTCTATTGAAATGTCTGTCCAGAAGAGAACGAGCAGCCGGAAGATGGTTTCGAGAATGCAAGAAGATAGAGGAGGCAGCAGCGACAAAGAATTCGGCAGGGCTCTCCCAGCCTCGTTCGACGAGTAGTTGTCCAGCTCCGCCCAGATAGTATCTACCATCTCTGCCTAGGATGCAGTAAGTGTCAGACCGTAGATGTCGTACGCGTTGTGACCCTGTGCTAGGCAAACCTGCCTTGCTCGGAAGACATAGCAAAGGAAGCGGTAGCAGTACGAGCGGTATCTTTTCCGCGTAGCTTGTCGCTTTGGCAGCTCGAACGGGATAGGGCAATAATGCGGACCCCAGCTACGTAGCCAACAGCAGAGAACCCGCGAGGTAGACGACAGGGTCTCTTCGCATCTGTCCAACGCGCGACTAGCAAGCTCAACGAGCGTCAAGAGCTTTGCCTCTGTAGCTGAGCAGCTGCTCCAATCGGAGTCGTTCCACGATCCTAGGTAGAGGGCTTCGTGCTTATGCGAAGGAAGCTGCGATGTAGCAGCAATCACATAAAGCGGTCTGCGTACGAACCAACGCGGCCACCCGCACTCACGTAGCCAGCGCGTATTCTCGTCATGCTCTAATTTTTCCAGGAGACATACGTTCGCATGGGCTTCATTAGCAAGCCGATGCTCCTCATCTTCCTCCATACGGAGAAGCTCCGCCAAATCTGGGTCGCAGCAACCTTCTTCTTCTTCTTCTTCTTCTTCTTCTTCCAGCTGCATTGATTGTTCTTCATCCACTTGCTCTTCCCCGCTTTGTCCTCTTACAGACTCGACGCTGTTCGTCTGGGCGTGGTCTACGCGCCAGTATTGCCCAGTCTTCCTGTGCGCAACCCATCGTTGAAGGAAGCATGAAACATCCTTCCTATAGACTATTGTATTCCTCAGACTATAAGTCTTATTTAAATGCTTCCGGAACTCGCCCCAGTTAACCGTGAGCCAGACACAATGTAGGCAGCTGAACCCCCAGACAGGAGCCGCCAGGAACGGCAGCACCCGGGTGTCGTTTAGAAGTGGAACGATGTCCGAGTCTTCCTGCGCTACAGGAAGATGTTCGTATCGGCGAAGTATAGCTGTAGACAGCCTGCTGCTGATGCCGTGATGTCGTTGGACATGATTAAAGAGCACCTTTCGGGGAACAGCGCTTCTGCAGAGCGTGCAAAACAGATAGCCATATGATGGCAGGTAGGAGATAATGTCCGGCGTTTCTCTCGCTTCTACCTAGAAGCAAGCAGTCAATGAACCTGAGGATACTGGTCTTTTTGCCCGCATACCTGCCTTAGCGAGAAGAGAAGGGGGGTCTGGAAGGCCAGACTGCAACGTGAAGCAGCTAGGATCGACAGGATTCCCTGTGTAGATTTTCCACGTACGAGACATGGACTAGAATCAGTGCTACGCCCCGTGGTTGCAGCAGTTGCAAGAGATGGGAGGCTCAGCACGGCAGCGGAGGTTACGGAGTCAAGATGGCTCAAAGGGGTAAGTGCAGGGGTAGTCGCGGAGTCGATCCGGGACTAGTACGAAGGAAGGCAAGAAAGGTCAGTGCTGGTACTCCAACCTGTCGGTTCGCTGCCATGTATTCCAACGCGTTCTCTAGTGTTTTATTACCCAATATGGCGCCCAAGCGTCGCTGTCTTGGCGGCCAGCAACTTGCAGCTCTTCAGTTGGTAAGATCTTGGGTAAGAGCTGGCTTTAAAACACCATATTGCAGCGATGAGAGTAGGCTGACTGAAGAGCAAATTGTACGAGATTATAACATCAAAGAGTGGGATATTCTCTCGCAGTAATTTGTACAATAATTAATCTCTTGGCATCTTTTTGAGTCAACTTACAATGAACTTGCAATCAACTTGCTCCAAAAGGCTAACAATCAACTCACAATCAATCAGAGCGACTCGAGCCGACAATCAACTCAACTTGAAGCTTTAAGTTGATTTGATATGCTTATTGGGAGGTCTGCTCGCTATCATCCAAGCCTTCCCTGGTCCCAACTTCAACTTTGCTGTCTACCTGAGCGCACTTACATTGCAACGTTCCCAGTTCCCGAATGTCATTAGCGCGTTCCTAGGCTTCCTCGGTATTTTCTTCCCTGGAATTCACACTAGCGGTTGCTGTGCAGAGCTTCCCAGTGTCTCTCTTCTACCACCACACACTCTAATATTCCGTTCAATAATCGAAATCCGATCCCTCAAAGCTGCCGCGGCTTGGGCATCAAGCGGAGCCGTGCGCGGCGTGAGGAGCAATATGTCCAGCGCGGTAAAGTGCCCCATGGCGATGAGGTTCGGGTCCGCCCCGTTTTCGAGCAGTGCAATTGCAGCTTCGTCGTTGGCGGACATCGCTGCAACATGGAGCGCTGTAATCCCCACTTCTCCTGCGTGGTCTAGCTTCTCTCTTACATTGAACTCTCGTATCGCAAGCAGGAGATCCATCATGGTTCTCGTAGCGGTGCCAATGACACCGGGGGAGGATCTGGATGAAATCATAGCCACGGCGTGGAAGATGGTGATTGCATTGGACGAACCGATGAAGAAAGATGGACGGGAGGAAGGTGGCGTGTCTTGGGACTTGATCTTATCTATGAGATATCTGAAAGAACCTACGTCCTCTTCCTTCTTGATCCACGCTGCACGTCCAAAGATGGTCACGTTAATGGGCCCCGGGAGCCCGGGCAGAGCGTATTCCGTCTCCAAAATTCGATTGATATCGGCGCCTCGCGTGAGCAGGAAGTCTGCCAAATCAAAATTTCGCGCCAGAATGGCAAGCGAGAGAGCGGGCCACGTGCCTCCTGATGCGGTTTCGATCCGAATGCCACGATCAATGAGGAATTTGGCGACGCCGATACCTTGTCTAATATTCGGTAGCCTCTGGCAAAGAAGCTGTAGGAGCGTAAATCTCCGACCCTGACTGTCTTCGAAAGGGATCTGGACATCTGCCCCGAAGTCGAGGAGTATCTTGACCATGGGTTCGTGATTTCTCAGAACTGCCTTTTGAAGAGGGCCGACTAATTGGCTTGAGCTTGGAGGGAAATGGTACAAAGCTGCTTCCACGATATCCTCGTAGCCAGTATTCCAGGCCGTGCTAAGCTTCGATTGCCAGTCCCTCTGAGTCCACAAAGATAGGGGAAGACGTCGAAAAATTGCAAAGGTATCGAAGACATTGGAACGAAAGAGATGTCCCAAGAGCGTCACACGATTTTCAATGTGCATGCTTCGAGCACTGCCAATGCCGATAATCTCGTCCAAGCGTGGTAGCCTGTCCAGCAGCGAATCCGGCCCCCGATAAGCTCCGACATATGTGAGAAGAGTATCCAAGATCGACGGGAGCAAAAGAAGAGCAGCAAATGCAATCGGGCTGGTAAGCCTCCCGCCTGCTAATGGATCCGCCCCGGCGGCCAGGAGAGCGTGAACCGCTGCTAGGCTGTTTTTCCCCACCGCACGTAATAGTGCCGTTCCCGCGGGATTATGAATCCCTTCCGGACCCGAATTTGGTACCCCACCCTCCGCCTCGAGGTTCGCTCCTGCGCATTTTAGCGCATCAACGACGAGTCTGACTTTGTCTTCATCGAACTGAGATACCCAGTGGAGAGGGGTTGCTCCAGCATGGGTGCCGAGGCACGGATTGGCCGCGCGGTGTAGGAGTGCCTGTGTCGTTTCGAAATGGCCTGAGCGACAAGCACAATAGAGTGGGGTTTCGCCATCCGTGCTAAGGCTGTTGATATCACAATTGTAGCCATCCAAGAGTAACTCGACGGCTTCAACTGCGCCGCTGGCAGCCGCGTAGTGAAGAATGCCATGGCCCAAGTTATTGACAACAACCTGACTGACTGACTGGGGACTCGCGTCTAGCTCTTGAACCAGCTGTTCCGGATCGAATATGTGGAAATTCTGTCGGATATTTCTCTCAAGAAAACACGTCAGTCCCGCACCGCAGCCAAATGTGCGGTATAGCTGTTGTGCTTTGACCCAGGGCCTCCCCGCCTCCCCCCTTTCTTCTTCTGTCAATGTTTCCCACATGCGTTCCATGTCTTTCATGCAATCTTTGTACCCTCGTGACACCGCGAGATTGAGGATCATCATGACTTCGCGCCAAGATATCGTCAGTGGGCAACGCAGCGCATCGTGGAAGCGCCATAGTAATGGCAGTGCCATTTCTTGCTCCTTTTGAGCCGCCTTCGTAAGCCAGAAGCAGGCTTGTTTTACATCGACCATGACCCCGAAGCCGTGAAGGTAGCATCTGAAGAGCGCAAAGCTAGCCCCTCTTACAGACATGGACTGAGAGGAAGCTGCGCGTTCTGGTACGTTGGCAATCTCTTCAAAATGTTCTACAAATTGAACCTGTACGTCCCAAGAAAGCCTGTGACTAAGCTCGTAGATGTCGAAAGCAGGGTCCTGTTCGTAGCGCGTCAGCGAAAGACTTTCACGGTTACACAAAGATATCGCCTACCGGTAACGTCACCGGCTGAACGTTTTCATTTTGCGGAAGAGCGCCTGCTAGGGACCGCACGTCTGGAAATCTATATCGAATCAATCACCATCCGGACAAACCAGACGAGGCAACATACTGGTTCTCTGTCCCCGACAATTTACGCTCAAGGATGGCATATGCTCGATCCATATTCCGGTAACGTGGATCGAATTGCAGCGTACAGTCAAACACTGACTTGCAGACGTCGAGTTCTTCATACACAGAAGATGGGATATACGATTGGAGCACCTCTACAGCCTTGTGCGAAAAATGGCTATTCCGCTTACAATCGTCCATGGCCCGAATGTCGGTCAGCCATAATGGTGCCAAAGTGAAGGGATTCTTGCCATCCATCACAGTTCTCCAGAAAAGAAGGCCATAACTGTAAACGTCGGTCAGTTTCAAAGACTCAGCACTCATTGTTGTGGCATATTCGGGCGCCTCCCAGGGCTTAGTGACCACCTTTAGCGCAGTGGCAAGATTGCTGCTTTCAAGGAAGGAGCTTCCAAAGTCAGCAAGTTTCGCGAGATATCCTCCTGTTCCATCATCAAAAACGAGCACGTTCTCGCTTTTCAGGTCGCCATGCACAACATTGCACTCGTGAAGAATGCGCAGACCGCGGGATATGTCCAAGCATAGCTGCAACTTGGTCCTCATTGGCAGAGGGTCATCTTTGGAGGCTTGGAAATCCGCAAGAGATCCATGAGTGGCATGCTCTAGCACGAGGTCAGGGAAATATGTGGCACTTTGCCGGTACGGGTCGAGGATGAGGCCAACCAAGGTGACGATATTTCTGTGAGAGCGAAAGGGCGGGTGTAACAGGGCCCTCACTTCAATATCAATCGCGTCCCAGAGTGTCGAGTCGTCGGACACTTCTGCATCTACGCTGATTGACTTCACAATAAATACTTTGTGATCTGTCAAGACGGTGTTTGGAGGCGGATATGACTTCGGTTCCATCCGTCGGACGAGGAAGGATCCGCCTTGCCCCACGTGGGTGACAGTGCATTCGTCTAGCCAGGCGCTTTGATCAATGATGCGGCTGTCCTCTCTGAAGAGGGCCGTTCCAATCGTGTCAGAGGTCCTCAAGAGAAGAGCCTGGAGAGCTCTAGCCTTGCTCGATGCTGACGCGGCAACATTCTGAGCTGCCCCCAGTGGACTCGACTCTGCTGCCGCGCCCGGCTGTTGGGGCAGGGTTTGAAATCGACGAGAAGACTCCGGTCTTGCCATGCGTAGCTTGAGGAGTGATATGGGAGGAACTGAAGTGTATTCCTTGGGATAGAACACTGCGTGGGTTCGCCGCTTGCATTTCTAAGAGTTGAGACGGGCCACAGGGAAGTCTGCCTCTCGAATATCGGAATGACCCGTGCCAAGGAGAGATCTCAGCTTTTCTTTCCATCTCAACAATGATTTGGCACAGCCGCAAGGCTCTGTGCGGGGTCGAGCCAATCCCGTGCAACCTAAGAACGCGATGTAATTGTGACGGAATTGATGTCACTGCAATCTTGTCATTGGCCTGCTCATGGTCTGAGTTCGCCTAATAATTTCTGCCTCAATCTGATGCCCCCAGTTTTTCTCTCCCCGACTCTGCGAGATTCAGAGTCGCTGTGCAGAGCCAACAGCTTATTTATTTCATAACTGGCATGGCTGAGGTTATTGCCATACTGTCCCTCGCGGGTCAATTGTTTACAGGCTGCGTTCAAGCATATCATATTCTGGCCACTGCGTATAAACGGGGGTCTGTCTCAAAGAAATATCTTCTCGAGCTCGTCATTGAACAAGTACGGCTCCTGCTCTGGGGCCGCAATTCAGGCGTGAGCGATGGCTCCTTAAAGCCGTCGCTGCACAGTATAGCGTCTCTCATCACTGGGATACTCCAAGAAATGAGAACTACACTACAAGATTCCGCGAAGCTGAGAACGCAATACGGTCTTGATATCTCCAAAATCTCTCCAAACTCTGAAAAAGAGGATCTGAAGGAGGCAGAGCCTGCCGTTGGTGGCGACGGGACAGCCGAGATGGCTTTGCAGAGCTCGCTGTTTAGGAAGCAACGACACCACATCCGACAGACCCTTTCCGAATCCCTTGAGCCGGTCGAGAACGCTTTCAAGTCGCTGCGTTGGGCAGTTGCTGATAAGACAAAGTTCGAAATTCTTGTAGGGGACTTGAGGCGGTTCAATGACTCCTTGATCTCGCTTCTCCAAGAGTCGCAGAGAGCAAAGAGCGACAACGACTTTCGGCAGTGGGAGATGGAGCTCGTTGGTTCCGAGAATGCGGAACTGCTCACAGAAATCCAGAATGCCTCGGCACATTCCTACCCGCATCTATATGCCCTTGCAGGCCAGAAGGCTCTTGGGCTACGGTTGGAAACCGGCAGCCTTTCTCAGCAGAGACCGGAAATCGAGCCGAAAGTATTTGAGCTGCAGCGGACGACCAAGGGCAGTCCCAATGTTGACGAGCCTCTATGGAAGGACATAGAGATGCAAAATATTCACTTGGACCTGTCTCTTTCCCAGGAGGCCGGATCGCGAATAGTTGCGCGCCTTGGTGGGGAGCAAGTCTTCATAGAGCGGCGACTATATGAGTCAGGTGCAGATTCCATCGTTCGCCAACGCATTTCCGAACGTCTAGCAGAACTCGCTGCTCGTCTCCATAAGCAACCACAGCCTTCTGGGCTCTGTGCACTCCATTGTCGTGGATTCTTCACGGATCGAAAGTCATTCAGCTTCGTCTTCGACCCTCCAGTGACCTCAACCGACACCACAAGCGGCGGGGACTCCCTTGCAGTGAAGTTTGTATCGCTCTCCGACCGCCTGGCAAGCGGAGCTCCGCCCTTGGAAACCCGTTTGGCGCTCGCAAGCAAACTGGTCGCCTGCTTTTCTGAGTTCCAGGCCACTGGTTGGCTGCATAGAAACGTGAGCAGCCAGAATATCATCTTCTTTGACGAGACCTCGTTGCTTCATCCATTCGTCGGCGGATTCGAGTACTCTCGCCAGGGCGGCCTAATAAAGAGTCTTGGTGTAGCTCCGCCGTCGATCTACCAGCATCCTGAGTACCACGGCGAGCCAACGAACAAGTACTGCTTTTATTACGACGTCTACAGCCTTGGGCTGGTGTTGTTCGAGATTGCACATTGGCGCTCGCTTGATTATTTTGTCTCTAGGAAATGGGGAAAGCTGAGCTCGTGGGATCTACGCAAGAAGGTTTTAAGCGAGGTGGACACTGACCTGGTATTTCGAGTGGGTACTAAGTATTGCGACATATTAAGAATGTGCGTTGGTTATAAGTATGGTTTTAATAGGCTAAGTGACGAGGAGCTGAAAATTCTCTTCTTTCGCTACGTTGTCAAGCCATTGGAAAGATTGACGGCCTCTTTTGAAGGAACTGAGATGATGGAAGACGAGCCGTTGTAGAAAGAAAACTGGGGTTTGCGGTGTCATGTTTGAGCCAGACTTCATCCGAGACACGCAGGGCCAATCTACAGTGTCGTAGATTGACTCGCAGGCAATTTCGAATTTAATTCTGTTTCCAACTGTATGTGGGGCTGTGAAATTAAGTTGAATTTTTGAAGAGATTTAAAGAGTTTGAACACGAAATTTATATTACAAATTCGTTCTCCCTAGCCTCTGATTCGTCAAGTTTGAGACCTGATTTTGCGAAGTTAAAAAGTTTGTAAAGAGTTTGTGAAAAGGCTGCTGAGATTTGTCCCCAAGATGAGATTTGTCCCCAACGCTACCGTGTCCGTGCACTCAACGCGCCTGTTCGGTCAACGCGCACCCCAACATAGTAATCATCTCATCTTTGCACCCACTACACCTCAACGCCACCATGACCGTTGAAGAAGCCCTTGCAGAACTTGAGCAAGCAGACTCAGATGAAGATATTTCCTATACAAAATTAGCTGAGAAACATGATATTTGGAGATCAACGTTGACGCGGAGGCAACAGGGCGTTCACGCGTCGCGTGCAGACGCAGGACTCAACAGGCGCGCCATGCACCCACGCGATGAGGTGGAGCTTGTAGAGTATATACGGAAACTCACAGAGCGACACTTAATGCCCACGAGGCAGATGATCAAGAATTTCGCAGCGCCAATACTTAGTTATGAGCCTGGCGATAGCTGGGTTACTCGCTTCCTCCACCGACACGAAGATGTACTCATAACAGCGTGGACCACCCCCATGGAGGGCACCCGCCATAAAGCTGATTCTGGTGATAAATGTCGCCTGTATTTTGAACTTGCGCACCGCAAAATTGCTGAGTACGAGCTGGAAGCTAAGCACACATACAATATGGATGAGAAGGGATTCGCTATTGGAGTCGTTGGCAAGAGCAAGCGCATCTTTGATAAGAAGCTGTACGGCAAGAAGCAGTTCAAGCAGTCATTCCACGATGGCAACAGAGAGTGGGTGACGCTGTTGGCAACGATTTGCGCTGATGGTTCAACACTCCCTCCATGCATCATATACGCGGCAGCCAGCAGAGCCGTACAGGCCAGCTGGGTCAGCTCAATCAACCCAGAAAAGCACTCAATACACTTCACGACGTCTCCAAATGGCTGGACAGATAATGACTTAGGCCTTACATGGCTTGACCAGGTCTTTGAGCGCTACACCAAGCCGAAGGCTCGAAGAAAGTGGAGGTTGCTCATCATTGACGGCCACGGCAGCCACGTAACAAAGGATTTTATCGACTACTGCGACTCTCATAAGATACTGCTGTTAATCTTTCCGCCACACGCCACCCACACGCTGCAGCCGTTAGACGTTGTGTGCTTCAAGCCGCTGTCAACCAACTACTCTACAGCGCTCGATAATCGAACTCAGAAGACTCATGGATGGGTGCCGGTGAAGAAGAGCGACTTCTTCCCGCTATTCTGGGGCGCGTGGCAGCAGACTTTCAGTGTAGAGTTGGTGCAGAAAGCCTTCTCCGCTACTGGTTTGTTCCCACAAGATGCGTCCAAAGTCCTTGATAGATTCAAGCCAGCAACACCTGAGCCTCCAGCTACACCTCCGCTACAAACAGCAGTCTCTGCTGCCCTAACTTCACCAAACTGGCTTAGTGCCAAAGCGTTGTTGCGCTCAATTGCAAGGCCTGATGCAGGTCCTGAGCTGGCAGCTGCAGAACAACTCATCCACCAGCTACACGTGCAGCTAGAACTCCGGAATTGGGAGCTCGCTGGAGCAAGAGAGGCTCTACGGGAGCAGAAGAAGCAGAAGGATCAAGGCAAGACCTTGCCTCTGATGTTTCGCGATCTCAACAGGCCTGGAAGTGCGAAGTGGTGGTCTCCTTCATCCAAGCGTGAGGCAGACGCGCGAGCAGCAGCATTTGAGAAGTATCAACAAGAACAGGAGGCAGAAAAGCTTACTAGGAAGCAGCGATTAGAGAATAATCGCATTCTTAGGCAGCAGGAAGATGAGGCAAAGCGTGCGCGGCGTGCAGTGGAGAAAGAAGAGCGTGACAGGCAACGCGCAGAAGAGCGTAAGGCAATCGATGCTCGCAAGAAGCAAAGACGCAAGGATAAAGAAGCCCACGACGCTCAAAAAGCTATACAATTAGCTAGAAGGGGCAAGCGCAAGGCATCAGAAGCTCCTGCACCAAACAAGAAGCAAAAGCGTGGTGCAGTGGCTGCGCAGCGTAGTCTTGTTGCTGAGGCTCGTACACCAACACCTCCACCAAAATACAACAGCCGCGGCCGCAAAATTGCTCCACGAAGAAAACTGTAACGATGGAAAGTTTTGCATAGGTCTATAGATTACTCCACCAAAAAATCTCATAATAACAGCTTTTGTGTGTGGCTCAATAACCTCATTTTTGTAAGTATCGTTATGAGGGTGCTGCGGCGCGTTGACCGAACAGGCGCGTTGAGTGCACGGGCACGGTATGGGTGTTTTGCGAAAGACCAGACTCACCCTTAACCGAGGTAACCGGAACCGTCGGATCATCGATCGCTACTGTAAATAAGCTGTATAGCGATGTTTGCGATAAGGCTGGGGCTGGTAAGGCTGCTCGCAAGCCAGTTTTTAGAGTATTTCGAGATTTTTTGAAGTTGAAGTTATCGTCAGCTTGTTTTTGAGCGGGAAATCGTTAATCCAATGGCCAAACGCCAGCGTTATGCAACTCAGCCATTTGAACAGGGTGTTAACCCACCTCCAGGAAGCTCGCGAGCATCTAAAAGGCGGAAGGCGCTCTCAGAAAACCCTTCGCAAGCCAATATTACGCCTACGCGAGGTACTGCTAAGGCGGTAACACCTTTGACGCCGCCCGCAACGCTCGCGCGAGCTCAAGATTCCCACTATTTGAGCCTAGCTGCACGCAGTCCGCAATCGACGCGCAAGCTGATGATATTGTAGGCGACGACGATGAAGATCGCAGCGATATTGAAGCTCCGGAGGGCGACGACGAGGCCGAAACTGGTGTTGCAGACGCTGTTGGAGGCACTAGAGATGCTCAAATTGACACTGAAAACGCTGTTTTAGAGACTAGAGTTACGCCCGCAACACCAGAACAGGAAATTATTCTTGATCCAATGCTCGACGTACGCTGGCGAGCTTGTTGGGGTGACCTAGAGAGGAATGCGATCGCGCAGGCCTGTGATTGCGACCCAGCGATCCGCCTGTCGCGGCTCACGTCCACCGGCACCTGGGACTGGGTTGATGGCGTGTTGGCGGACGTTCTGCCTAGAGTTGCCATAGTTGTCAGCCTTGTTGCGGTTGTATATACGCGGAAGGAGGCCAAAAAAGAGCGTAGAAACAAGCGGTTGCGGCGCAACGAAATACTTAACTGGATTGGTTTTAAGGACGTCGTGAAGGGCGTTGACGTAAACAGTACTGAGCCCGTTTATGTAGATTTCGACCTCATACTGGCTGACAATACGCCAGTTCAGGCAGCTCGTCCAGCGCCGGCGAGAGCTCGTACGGCGACGGTGATACAAGAGGAAGGTCTCGCTGGTGTTGTAGCAGCTGAGCAAGCTGGGTCTGGGTGGGCGATGGCTATACGAGATCAGTGGAGGTGTCAAGATGCGAATTGTGGCAATCACCCATACGTTTGCTGGCTCCCGCGCACTCCAGGACAGCCAGATCGCTTCGAGAAACACCTTCCAGTTAATGGCAATATCATCGCGATGTGGGCGCGCGAGCTTGCTGGTGGAACAGGCAGCGTCCACAACCCTTCCGACGACGTCCGCCTGGCTATTGTGCGAGCTAAGGATCGCGCTGATGCTGAGAAATCTAGGCGACGGGGCGCTGTTGATAGTGGTGGAGGTGGTGATAACGAGATCGCGAGCTTGACGAAACTGCTTATTGTCAACCAGTTGAAGCAGCTAACCGGGCATACAAACCAGGCTTTTGTGCAAGCTCAACAACCGGAAAGCTCGCTATCATGGGAGCCGTTCGAGTATACCAATTGGATAGAAATCTCTCGTCATACGAAGAACTTCTTCGACTGGTGGGCGGGCCAGCGTACGTCCGGTTTCGCGAGCAGTTACATCAAAACCATGTATCGCAGCGTCTGCGTAGTAATGAGGTTGGATATCAACATCCTGCTCGACAATACGGACAACGGTTGCTCAATGAAACTGTGGGTTGAGCAAACTGAGTTTCCGATCGGAGCTTTAATTCGGTTAAGAGATGCAGCGAAACGATGGAGGTTGCAATACGATGGGTTTACTGAGCAAGACCTAGAGCGTATTGAAGCTGCGAAGCAGCGAGATCGCGTACACGAGCCAAGTAGCGATATTGAAGATCTTTCATAAAGTTGCGAGCTGCTCGACCAAGTAAGCCTGCCCACCCCCATTATTTCTAGCCTCCCACACTGCTCAAGTTAGCTGTGCTTTCAGAATAGACTGACATAGTGTTGTAGATGTAGCTACAATTTTTTCTAGGAAAAACAATCGTGATTGTAGGTTGCGCAACACCTTAGAGACCTTTGAAAACCGCGACGCTACAATATTGAGCTTAAACTTCAACTTCAACTCTAACCTCAATCTAGCGGATAACCACACTTAAGAAACCAGCTTCTGCAGTCAATATTACAACACGCTCGCTGTACCGCATACTCTAGGAAGTAATCAAAGCCGTTGAACAACTCCATTTGCCTCGCATTTCTCTTTATCCAGCTTTTCAGCTGCTTGAAGCTCTTTTCAATCGGATTGTAATCTGGTGAGTACGGCGGCAAGTACTCCAGTACAACACCAGCTCGCCCGCAAAGCTCACGAACTCTTACTGACCGATGTATAGACGCGTTGTCAAGTACTATTACTGAGTTGCGACCTGGGTAAGGATTGCAGTGCGGCAACACCTCAAACTCGAGGAAATGCTCCATGATTCCCGAGGTAATCGAGCCTTGAAAGATCATATAACTGAGGTAGCCGTCCACCGTCATCGTGGGCAACAGCGACCATCTTTCTGACCTTTTAAAGCTATACACGAGCTCCACGGGCTCGTTAATAGGACTCCAACCATACTTCCGATCTCCCGTACGCTCATTGCAAGCGCTCTCATCAACCGCGACGATCATCTCAGCAGTGTAGTGCTGAGCGATCCGTGCAGCGTACACCCGACGGAGAGGACTACTCTGCTCTTTTGCGCGTTTCGAACCGAGTTTCCTTGACCATTTAAGCTTCTCAAGAGCCCGAAACACCGTCCAAATAGTTGTTTGGATGTCGAACTCGTCATATAACCAGTCCCTCATCTCCTCTAAGTATGCCTGCGGTCGGCCAAGCAAGTACTGCTTAAGAGCGTCGAGATGGCGCTGCCGGAGAGTCGCGGGTCGCCCAATACGAACACTTCGAGGCGGGTATGGCACTCCCCAGTACTCCAAGCTCACTCGAAGCTTGCCTATACATTTGCGGGTAACTCCAGTCGCTCGAGAAATCTCGGAATTATTCTCCCCGGCGGCAATATGATCGACTACTGATTGCAAAAGTGCTGGCTGAAGGCGTTTTCCGCTCCCGGGCGACATTTTGGAGCTTAAAAACACCAGAAATGACAAATATAAGTACAATCTGAGCTGTAAAAACGATCCACGACGCTGGTTAACAATACTAAGTGCTGCGCGACCTAGCCAGCATCGTTATACTAGTAAAGTTGGGTGGCGGGGTGTGTTCCGGGGGTCCCGGTCACCTCGGCTAAGGGTGAGTCTGGTCTTTCGCAAAGCGTTATAACCCTAGACTGTTGACGTCTGCTGTATCCCTGCGACCCCACTAGCTTAACCCTAACTACGAACACCAAACCCTAACACTATTAACTACACACCTGACGGGTATGCAAATCGGACGCATAGTGCAACTTGATGCGCTAATTAACATACTTAAGTTTTGGACACATCAGCCTGCGGGAACCTAACGACACCAGCTTCTAAATGTAACGCCATGGAGCCTACGTACCTAAAATTACGCCGGAATCTGGATATCTGAGCACTAACTAAAATAATACCCTAACGACATGGAGGGCTGAATGTCATTAGCGCCCTGGGATAGGGCTGAATGTCATTAGCGCCCTGGGTTAGATTCTTGTGCCGTTCATGATTGCAGTTTGGGCCACCACCTGTCTGGTATGGGCTTCGCTTACGTTTAGGCAAGTTGGCGCTGAAAAAGCCGGATGGTTCGAAACGATGGATTTTGCTTTATCGATGTACTTCCTTTTCTTCAATATTACGGCGGCAGTCCTGTATTATGGTTTTAGTTACGATCCCCGAGGAACGTATAAACCACCTTGGACGGAGAGGCTTGGTTAGATCTATGTTCAAACTATCAGAAAATATGATGCGAGCAAGTGAATGGGATGCAAACAATCCTCGGTATGAAGTGCTTTTGTAAGAAAACAGCAAATGTAGGAGACCGGATCGTAGTAGAACGCACAATATACATGAGACCACAATCCTGTGCGTCCATCCCGCAAACCACCTACCAGACTGTCTTCACTCGTCGAAGTGTAGGCGCCGTCGACGTGTTTTTATCCCTAATCTTCTTCAACCTGCTGCGCCACCGCACTGCAATGACACTGGCAGCTTTCAGCTCCTTCGCCTTCTCCAGCTTCGTCATGTCAATCTGTTCCTGCTGTACATCATACTCTTTGCGAATCCTGTCGACCCATTCCCGGCGAGGAACTAGCTGCTTGTCCATGATCATCATGTCTGTCGGCATGGTACGCCATGCATCCCAGTCAAACGGCGGTAGAAAGAGCATCTTGTGGTCTTGGTTACATATCAGAGGGTGTAGGTCGCCGGCTTGGAGCTTCTTGTAACATGCTGAGCAGAATTGTACGCAGAGACAGTGCTTGCAGACGTGACAGTCGGCTAGTACGTTCTCCCATTCTGTCCCGCAGCCTCCGTCGCAGATGTATCCTGAGATGTACGCCTTGGTCTTAGCTGTAGTTGATGAAGAAGCGTCTGAGTCAACTTCAGACTTCTTGTCTGGTGTCGTCGGGACACCGTTCGCGTAAGATGCTTCAGCGCTTGTCTTTGTAGTATCTCCAGCACTTGGGACGCCTGTGTCGGCTACCGAGACTTGCGGCAGTTGGTACGGTTCAATTGCCTGCCATGCTGCAACAGCATCAGTATCCGCGGCGACACAGGTCGACCTCGGCCGCACTGATCGCTTCGTCATGTAACTGAGTGAGTGCGGATTCGGAATCGGAGGTACCGCTTGCGGATAGAATGTCTCGAAGGCCATCTTTGAATCCTACATCACCCTCTTTGCTAATCGGGAGCACAGGCGAGTAGGTAGTAGCAATCTGATCTGCAAGCAGGAATTCCTCGCCAGAAGTGAGAAAAAGAACGCTTTCGAGCAACTTGGTGGAGGGTTGATAGCTCAAGCCGGCAACCCATACAAGAAGTTCATTAAGCACCTGAGCTTGACCTGAGCTTAGAAGGGCATCGAGAGTCTTGACGCGGTTTCTTTGAACGAGGTCCATGTCGGCGCTCGTGTTGTTGATGACGTTTTGAACCTTTCTGTCACGAGATGCTGTAACGGGCTAGAGCCCGGATGCTATAGTGATCCTCGGTGGAACCTTCGGAGCCTCCTCGGCATTCTAGAAGCTTCAAGATGCTACGCGAACGATAAGCTAAACGTATATAGATATCGCAGCACCATAGATAGGTTTTCTTCGTTATCGAATACAATCCTGTTACCAGGCATCGGCATACTTTGCGCAGCCCCTTACAGATGCTACGGGCACGCGTTTAAGAGCCTACTAAAAGCGCTAATTGTGGCTACGTACGATATCTGGTGTAATACAAGACGTTGCGTAAGGAAACAGAAGCAGAATACAAAGGCGGTGAGGAATTTATAGGTAAGGCCTGTGCGTGCGGCGCTCGGCCTTAGCTAGCTAATTAGCAGAATCTAGGTGCTAAGCTAAGCACCTAGTGTAAGGGGCTACGCTCAGGGAGCTATCGCACAGGTATACTGGAGTTGTATTCGATAGAGAAGAGAACTACAGGTAGCTAGGGTTCTGAAGGTCGTTCAGGGGGCGGCGGCTCGGGATAACCTTCTGCCGGGCTCGCTTGCACAGAATCCGGGTGCTCAGGGGGGCACCCGGATTCTGTAGACAGTGCGCCTCGCGCACGTGACCGAGATATCATCGAGGACTCACCAACTGGGCTCCAGCCCATCACATAAATAAACACTAAGTAATTACTTGGTTACGCTCCTATTAAAGCAAATAAGGGCCTCACCATTTGATTGATTTGCTTGTTAACAACTCTGCCTATTCGGTTGTTAGCGAACCGAACTTTTAACGTAATACTGTATGTATAAGTGTCTACGCTCTAGTGAGAGCTCATCCTTTTCCTCAGCAGCCGACGCTAACGCCCGCTACGCGAACTCTGCAGCCCTCTAGCAGCAACGCAAGTAGGGTATAATTCCCGCAGTCATACCGGGATTCCGCCACCCCTGGAGTGAGGTTACCATACCCTATTCATTTCAACTTAAAACAGGCCATGTCAAACTCGACGTATAGCTGGTTGGTACCCCAATGAACAAAAGTCATCCGTGCGATATTATTTGTTGCGACAACCCGTATGTTCCAAATCTTTACATGGAATTCGGCATCTAGCAAGGGATTCAGCCAGATCCCAATTTCTTCTTCTTTCTTTTCATGTATCTCAACTTTGCCGAAAAACGACCACGGTGAAGAAGTTATCGTTGCCCCCTGAATTACGGGGATTTTGAAAATACTGTCTTCGTTTAGACTTTGATCGCTATCCTTTTCGCAGAAGGAACCTATACGTGTAGCGGAACAGAAATCTTTGTCTGCAACGAATTCAAGAAAGCGTTCCTTGACTGCCTCGATTTCCTGAGGTGTCGGCCACCCCGAGATGCAGAAAGTTTTGACAGGAAAGTGAATGGTCTCCTTAAACTTCTTTTCATGGCCCGTTTGTTGGAAGTTCCTTTGTAGGTGCGCTCTTTACACAAATTTTAGCTAAAGTTCCAAGCAATTGGCGCCGTGATGTGTGGCTTACTTGAGTCCTGCGAAGTCCTGAACTTTGCTTAAGTCTCCAATTTTGGTCACCAACTTCTGCATTAAGTTCGTATTGGTTGTCTTGGCCGAACTACACTGTTTGATGTTTTCGGCACTTTGAGGCAGCTTTATCGCCTGCACATGCCCATGGTCGAATCGAACATTCGATTCCAAATTCTTCGGATTTAGGGACCTCACGGAACCTTTGATTTGTTAGAGCAGAGAAATACTAATGTTGCTTAGGTTGTCATACAGCAGGGTGCCAACTCATACTGTTTGAGTCCTGTAGCTTCCACCAAAATTGGTCCTTCGGCTCGGTTTAGCTCTGGGCACTGTCCGGTCTTGTCCGGATACTCAGCCGTTGTCGCTTGCTTCTGCTGCAAGTTCTCCACACAGTCCCGCACCCGAAACTTCTGCTTCTTGTCGTCACGTGGATCAGTTACGAACAAGTCTTGGATGTATTTCCAAGTCGAATCAGATAAATTGACTAATCATACCCATCAGATTCAGACGTAGACTTAATAGCTTCTAGTTCTTACTGCGAAAATGCGCGTCCCCTCTAATGTCGTTATTATACTGATCCCCAGTGCCTTTGTGGAGGTTAAAGGTCGCCCCCCCTGTAGCTCCAATATTGTCGCCGCTACCCTGGTGATGCTGAGAAAGAGCATCTTCAGTTTCTTCCTGAAGAGAGGAAGGCATATCTTTCATTTGCTTGATCGCCTCTTTGATCTCCTCCATTTCGGCATCGCTGGCAGTTCCTGTCAGCTTTTCGTATGCAAGAACCTGGACGTCCTTTAGTATCCCCTCCATTAACTGCTCCACTTTACCCTGGTTTCCCAGTGTACCTCCTACGGCTTTCTTGTATCGATCGTACCACTTGTCGTCATCCTTTCGAACAACCTTCTGGAATATCTTCTGGAGGGCCTTAGCCTTGGCTTCGCACGACTTTAAGGTTGGTTCCAATGCCTCCTGCGCGGTCTCATCGAGCGCATGTGCTCTCTTTCTGGCGTTGTCAAGGATATTGACGACGAGTGGCAGCCGTGCAGCCACCTGACGAAATGCCTGTGGCTGACCTTGCGCGTCTTTGGCGGCATCATATACGGTTTTAGTCGCTTCGATGATTGAAATCACGCCTGAAATGAGGCCAATGACAGACAAAGCCTCGGCGCCACTCATGATGAGGAGTTGACAATAATTTTGGCGGACGTATGTTACGCGCTTGGTGTCCGAAAGCAATGCTTGAGTAATGGACAACACAGTGAAAGGCGCCTCTATGACTTACATCAACGAGACTGCTGTTGAGTGTCCAGAGCGTTTGCGAAGGAGGAACGCTGTGGAATCGTAACAGCGGGGTATGAGCTTGACAAGTATTCGCGCCACGATCGGGCAGCAGCTGAAAAGCCGGACACAGTGAACGCCGCTGCATCTGCGGCACTGAGGACGCCGGTCATCAGGCTACAGACAGCTGACGTGTTGCTCAGCAAGCTGGACGGGGCTACGCATCTCAGCCGCACCCCCACTTGATAAATCGTTGGGATTAGCAGCAGTGTCATCGTGCTAGCAACAGATGTTATCTTCGGTCTTGATTAGAGAAGACCTAACTGTCGTTTACGTCTGCTACAAGGAGTATGTATGGTGGTTCTGTAGTAAGGTCGTGATCTATAATATCAGAGCGTATTGATCGCCGACAATGTAACAAGGTTGTTCCGCGCTGGACCGCCCAAAGTGGTCCGTGTTATCTATCCACCAAGTCGGTCCCGACCATACCTGCGCACATGGTTATAATATGGTTACTTGGATAACTGGTTAAACAGACATTAGCGTACCAAAGCCCTTTTCAGCCAATCGGACAGATATCATTAGTAACAAGATTTTCTCTGGTTGGTTAGAAAAGACCTTGGGACGCTAACGTCTGCTTGACCAGTTATCCAAGTAACCATATTATAACCATGTGCGCAGGTATGGCTGAAACGGTGTAGGAATCAACCAACCAACCGATAGCTGTCAAACAACTTCACGATGCAGCACAGCATACAGCTATATTAATATCGCAAACGAATGTAATCCACTATTAGCACGTTACGCCACTTTTGGAATTCCTAAAACAGCCTTTGACGCTTCTGCTGATCGATAAGAAGCCTTGTGCGAGGGCGCTTCGCGTTATCGCGCTAGTTGGACGAATCCAAGTAGGAAAGACTACGGAGCGAGAGCCATTGAAAGACTTAAGTTTGCATTAGGAGAATACGACTAGAAAGTGAGTACTCTCTAGCAAGACGAAATGCTTCTGGGATACGTGACAGACAAGATCAGGCTTGCAAACAGATAAATCAAACCAACTTGGACCTTCAATTTGATTTGATTTGGTTAGACTCATGGCCGATCTGATTTGATTTGATTTGATCTGGATCGATTTGGATCTATTTGGTTATTTGGATAGCCCCACTTCTCTCCCACGAGGAGAGGCATTGAGCTGCTCCTATAATATCCGCTTGCAGTCGGCCTCTCTGGGCTGTAACCATATGTCCTGCAAGGCTGAATATTCGCTCCGGCTCGGACGACAGCGCAGGAATTGAAAAGAGATCGATTGCCATCCGCGACAGACGTGGATACTGGCGTCTTCGGAGAAGCCAATACTGGATCGGATCATCCACCAAGCAGTCGCCTGGATCGGCAGTGGCAATCCACGCTGTGTACTCATCGTGCGTAGCTGAAGGTAAAGGTGCAGGTTGAGTGCTGGGCTTTCTGATGGACGGTGGAATAGAAGGATAGATTGGCCGAGCCACTCTTCGCGCATGGTCGACACAGGCTCGACATATATTCTATAGTTAGTAACCGTGCTTGTGAAAAGCAAGCCTGCTATGTCCCTGATAAAAAGCAAACCCGCCGTACGGTACGCAAACTGGCTGGCTCAACTGAGCAGACGGCGGACAGTGATTGGACGAGTCCTCATCTGCGGGGCTTATCCAAATAATCAAATATCCAAATAAATCTGGGCATTGCAATTTAACTTGATTTGGGTAGTGTTTACCCGATTTGATTTGATTTGATTTGGATAGATTTGAATTCGATTTATCTGTTTGCAACCCTGCTTTCCAGCTCTCAATCCCCTTAGGCCAAAGAAAGGATGAAGGTGATGCTATACGCTTTTACACTAACATGTCAAGCTTCTGCGAGAAGGGTAGAACCAGCCAGAGGTAGTACACAAGTAGCTCGCTGACTTCTTTAGGAAGATATCGGTGGATGATCTTGGTGGATCCGGTGATGTTGTATCCCTTGTGGTAAGACGTGACCGTGCCAATCAAGCCTTCTTCAATGAATATACTCCTGTGGTGCCCTTGCGCCGTGTTGCTATGTTGCAGAGACAAAAGCTCGGTACCACGTGCAGGCTGTCCAGACGTGACATGGATGAGGAGTAGCATTTGCTCAAGGAATTGATCAAGCTTAGAGACGTATGCCTGCACAGCTTTCTTATTCCAAACCACCTGCTCTTCTTGTGTCAAGCTCACCATCTCGTCCTTCAGCCGGTCATTATCAAGCACTCTGTTAAACAGCCAGTCGTCTCCGTCACGAAGCTGGTCTGCATTTCGTGGATCCTCAAGGAAGTTCCAACCCTTCTGATTGTTGCTATGGTCATCTTTCAGACGATGGAGTGAGACGCTGGGGACAACATCCTCTCGGCGCTCTTCTGGATGCAGGAGGAGGAGACCTTCCAACGCTCTCTGGGTTCGCTCCACTTGTATAGCGACAAAGTCTCGAAGAGAGCCCATGCTGAGCCTGGTGTCTCTATATGTGACTGTCTCCGCGTCCTCGGTCCACATTATGTAGCCAAGACTTGTCGTGTTACTAGCTACTTTCTTTGCGTACGAGCGAAGACGATAGGCCCAATCAAAGGCAGTCCGAGTGCCTCGCACCATGAAGCGCTCTCTCATCTCATCTAGTAGATCAGATGGATGTTCTGCTTCGCCGTTCTCAATCCCAGTAACTGCCCTCTGCACAACAAGCATCTGTGCCATCTTGATGAATTTGGAAAGGTCTGGCGAGTAACTTTGCGTGCTACGAAAGACACTGCCAGTTGTCTCATCAATCCCCAGAACGGCAAGGAAGCTAAGCACTACACTTTCGAAATGATCTCCTCGCAAAGTATGGTCGAGGAGGGAGATGCATAGTAATAAACATGCCTGGTCCATATCGTTCGCCACCTCGTGTTCCTCGTCCTTGAAGATTTTGTCATCTCCGCCTAGGCTTCTTAAATGCAGGAGGTCGCTGACAAGATTCATGGTCCGATCTAGTCGACAGAGTTGTTCATTAGTAGATCGATGGAGGAGCCGGATCTCCTGGCTAGGAAGACTGGTACGGTATACAAAGCAGAGAAGGCGTTTCCATAACCCCTTGTATGCCCGAAACGTTCCTTTCTGGAGCTTGATCATAATCATGCGATCTTGCCTAGCTGATCGATCTGATATGAAACTGTTGATCTTGGCTTGGTCGAACACGCTAATTCGGTCCTCGCAGATAGACCGGTAAGCCTGTTCAATAATACGATCAAAACTCTCTCCTATGATGACCAGAGCCGCCTTAGTAACGGGATTGGGCCCGTACGCTAAGGGCGCCACCTTGGTCATGTCCAGACCATCAAAGTAGCGGGGCTACCTTGTTATCTCAAGCCAAGGGGAGACCTCCGTCTTTGCGACTGGACTGCTGTACGTCTGCGCGATGACCTGTTGCTCGAGTTGACCAGCATGAAGTTGCTCGTTGATGATGGCCCGAAGATCTACCTTGCGCGTCTGCGGTTTGGCCATTTGGTTATGCAACTAAGACGGCACATGAACGACAAAAAAAGAGCTTTGGTGGCATGAAATAAAAAAGCGCTGGCAATAGACTTCTTTGAACATTGGCCCTCTGTCTTCTTCTGGTATAGTCGCTGACTTTCTAGGTCGTCCTTTTCTCCGTGCAAGCAGTCGGTGTTTACCGAAGTGCCGCTTTATAGATTCCTGGGACGACTTTGTTATTAAGAGCACGTACTTGCAGCGGGTGCATTGATAGCCGCGAAAGAGTTTTAGATCTGGGAGAGGCGGGTCTGTGGGCGACGGTCGCGGGATTTCGTGAGTTCTCGGGTCAAGAAGGTCTTATTTCTCTTGAAGGTGCTTGGCAAGAGTGATGGCAGGTCTACTTGCTCGAGACATCGCGAAATCGAGGCCGGCATTGCGGGTTGCCTCGCGTGCGTGTTCTTTCTTGATATGGCTGGCAAGATGCAGGGGCGCGACGGCGCAGGCACAGGGTTTGCATACTAGAACTTGGTATTAGGGTACGAATGTAAACAAATCTATAGTGAGATGGGGAACGGTTTAAAACGCGTAGTATAGGGACGGGATGTGGTCGCCGGTGCGAGATTTATGATGGAGCGAAGAGGTTGGCGCATTACAATACTAGACACGACTAAGACGCGGTCCTTCCTACGCGTACTCGGGCCTACCATTTGTTGCGTGTTCCGTCACGGCCCTTCTATCACACGGGGCTTCCCAGAGCCGAGGCAGGCAGTATGGGACCGAGCTCTTGGCCGATTGGCCCACAAATGGGATGAGGGTTGACCCGAAGTAAGCATGTATCTTAGGATGAAGTAGGGGTATATGTATCCCTCGGCATCGAAATCGCGACCGAGCAGATTCTTGCATTCGTTGCAAAGGGGGATCAAGTACGTCATTATTCCATCCAAAAGGCTGTAAAGTCTTCAACCTTTGCTTTCTCCAGATACTCTCCTTGCATAATCCCGTGAATATAAGCCTCCCCGATAAAGCTTCCGGGTACATCTCCAAGCTCGGGCTCGGGCTTGCGTAAGATGAAAGCTACATCTGCTCCGTATACGATGCATACCAAGTCTCCTGACTTTGTTATCTGCGGTGCCAGACCAAAATATCCAGTCGTTGTAGTTATGAAAGTCCGTTTCGCACACAGACTGACAACGGAATTGCTATAGTCCTTAATTCTTTTCGTTTCCACTGTTGTCGACGATGAGGCACCGTCGGAAGCAATCTCTCGACCAATCCAAGCGTCGAACATGGGCTTCACGTCAGAATCGAGCGCTTCTCGGCTGAAAGTCCGGTTCGCCGCTATCGTTCGAAAAAAGGCTTCCTCGTAGCCACCGTCAGAATCCAAGTAGTTGACTGATTTGGATGTTCGAATATGCTCCTCCCACCTCAAACAGGCTTTTTTTGTGCTTTCCAATCTCTCCTGCCGACACTGTGCTTGGATTGCGAGGTCATCTCCAGTGTAAACGGTCACTTCTGGTGTTTCTTCAGTCCCAACCCCATTGACAAAATCAACTGTATCAACGACAAATCCGTGGAGAAAAAGGGTCTCCTTGTCCCCAGAGAATGCGAACCTAGGCTTTATCTCCTTTTCTCCTCCGAACAGCCATTTGTCAGCTGGGGGGCGAAAAGAGCTCGTTACTGGGTATGGAGCAAACTCGAAGCCAACTAAGGGTACATGTGTCTGCTTTGAGTTCCAATCAGGACACCACGATGGAAGTCCCAAAGAGGTATTCTTCTCTACCTGTCCAAACTGAAGCGGTATCAGTAATTCCCTATGGAAACAGATCCATGTTGCTTCAATGAACACCATCTTGTCAGTAACAGCTTCTTCGTCGTAACTAACAGTAATTTGTTTTCTGATATCCGGATGAATCAGGCCCATAAGTCCATAAACTTTATCCCTCAAATACCTGCATTGAAACGGAGCCACATCCATCAACCACAACGACAACTCCCCATCAAGCCATTTCACACGATGATATTCTAGCATAGGTGTAAACGGACACTCTTTCCAAAGGTTACGAAGAGGCTGGAATCGCTCAAGATCTGCACTCTGCGCTTCCCAGTGCAGGTTCCTGAAGATGACAAGTCTTTCAAAATCTACTTCGTCGGCGCCACATTTGAGAACGGGGTTTGGGGAAAGCATCATCTCTTGAACGACCCACATTCTCTTCCACCACGCCCTCTTCAGCAGAATCTTCAAAGCCTGCAGTGCTGGTGACGCGGCGCTGGGGTCGTAATCGACGAAGAATTGAGCATCCGCGGTGGCGATTAATTGGAGCGCCTCATGACTATCATTCTCCGCATCACCCAACCAAAGAACCGTCCGTATGTTCGCATGTTTGTAAATCTCGCCCATCATCTGAACCTGGTGGCTTTTTTCGGTGTTGTCTCTTTGATTGATGCAGATTGCATCAACCCAAATCTTTGTAGCCTTCTTCTCGGCACGCAATTGCTTCAGAGCCTTCTCTAGGTTGGCTGTAATGGTGGTGTTAACACCGTTGAGCTGTATTGGACGTCGGTCGTGGTCATCGCCCCAGACATACGACAAGGCAGAGTAGTCATCATTCAAGGTGGCGCGCTCGAGCTGCCCAGAAAGGAGAGCGTTCTCATCGTCGCTGTCGTGCAGAGAGATCAACCGGATCTCGCTTTTCGACGAATCAAGAGGAAGATTGGAATATAGGCTCATCGCTTCATGATCGAGGTCTCCTTGAATCGATTCCTATTGGATTGGGGCTCGTGTCTGCCTCCCCGTTGTTGTCCAGGATTTGCCCAGATATTTTGAACACCTGGATTTTGAGTGCAGGGGAAAGGTGGAAGGGAAAGTATTCACAAAATATATAGAAGTTTCGGCGCTCTCAACATTAGGCTTAATAACGTAATTATCCGGGCAGCGCACGCGGGGTACTGCAACACCAGGAAACACGACAACAGCGAGTATTGCAATTTTTGGAAGCAACGCAGTATATCGCACGTAAAAATTAGCCTGACACGTACTACAACCCGCCAGCACTTCAGAGGCAGCACCCACTGTTACTGAAGCGTTATGGCGACGCCGTGGCCGCGAAGGGCGACTTGGCCTACCCCGCTACGCGAGCATGCTAACTTAGTGGGGGCTGCCCGAGGCGGCTCCACAGGACGAACACCACAAAGCGCAGCCGCACCACCATATTGCTTTTTCTTTGGCCTCGCCAGAGGCTTTATAGCCTTACGCTTACTACTTTGGGGCAATTCTGCAGCTTTTTTGTGGTCTTTCTCCTCCTTCTTGCGTTGTCGTTCAGCTTTGCGCGCCTCTATCTCCTTGCGCTGCTGAGCCCGCCTCCGATGCTGGCGTCTCTCCCCACCCGCTCAAACAACCACCTCTCGCCACCTACGGGCATGCGGGTGCAGTGATTTTTAAAAAAAATCCATCTGGACCGCTCGTTGGTCGAGTTGTCTTGTATGCTCTCCCTGGGGACGCTGGGTATGGGCTTGGTAGCCTTGCTGTTGCCAAACAACAACTCCTCCACCAACGACCGCCGGCTCTTGTTTGCTAGCCCGTCCACCATGCCGCCGAAGTGGGCTATGTTGAACTGTAATCCTTTGTACAACATCTCATCGCCGCCTACCCACAGGACGTGGTGTTGTAATGGTTCTTCAACCAATATGTCCGCAAATCCTAGATAGAAGTAAATAATAATAATGTCTTCTATTTGCGAGGTTTAACATATTCCTAATCCTGTTGTTAGTTATCAATGACAGTTGAGGACATCTACGCTGGACCAAATGCTTGGAGATTAGGGGGTGGCACCACACTAGACTACAACCAGAAAGAATTAGCATCTGATTCGCGTTGAATGCACGCGTCTTGAGGCAGGATGCGTAATTCCCTCATTGGGATGAATCGGGCGCTGATGCCACGGTGCATCATATACTAGGCCCTTGTCGTGAGGGTCGCGTGGAGGTAGGACCTCAACAAACTCTACATTTCTGATAATCTATGACGCCACTCTAACAGCAGGGTAATAGTTATAAACTCAACACTCTTATCATCCTTGAATGCTTCACGCAAAGTCTTACGCTTTTCACCGGGTATTACAGCGAACGAAGAATACGACGGTGCACAGAAGGGCAAGTTCAGCGCAACCTGCAACGCCTGCTTCGGTCCAGTACGGTCTGACCAGTTATCCCAAAACTCATCGCTCTGCATCAAGTGAGCCACTATATCGTCAATGCCTATGACTAATATGAAAGCGGTAACCTGAGCATCGTCAAGCATAGCTTGCGGCAACCAAGTAATTCTTCCCACAACAGCGTAAAATAGACTGTTTGCGGAGATCTGCCGTAGTGCAAAACCAAAACCTGAGAACGTTGGAAATACCCAATCTCCCGTAGATATTCCAGCGTTTCCGAGACCACATAGTGCAGCATTCGAGTCAAGAATGCGGCAATATCTCCCACTTTGTCCTTCACAGTGTTTCAACCTCCAAGGTCCGTCCCTCGTGATTTGTACACAACCCCCTGCCACTTGTACATGCTTTTGACTTGAACGCTTAGCCGACGATAGAACGCAATCATCAGATTCAATGAGATCAGACGATACACTGTGCTGTCGCCTAACCAACTCGTCTGAAATTCTGGTACCAGTTAGATGAAGCTTCAGCATATTGAAGATCTGCAGTGTCTGATCAATGGTGTTGAAATAAGGCAGGATGTCTTTCGCCAGATCCAGTGCCGACCTGGTGTAGTCAGGCCGCAACGTTTTTTCAGTAGGTCGGTGGCATTTTCCATCAAGTGTCATTTCTCTTGCATCGCTCCAGTTTGCAAGCGCAAGTGTACCGTACACTGTATCTCTTGGGTCCTTACATGATCTCGTCTCGCACAAATCAAGTACGTCCCCTAAGCTGATAGGGTCCTTCGCATCATTGAGTTCTATCGCAAGTGCGCATCGACGAAGGAAGTCGTCGTTTGCAGCTCCCAGACGGGAACCACCCTTTTCTGTGAAGAAAGCTTCGGAGAAATCTCCAACACCCATTCGCAGACTCTCGACATATGCGCTACCACTTCCTGACTGACGGAGCTTCGTGTATAGGAGAGGCGAGCTGTTGTCTCCGCCACGATCGCAAAAGCGCCGCCTGTGGCTGGTACGGGTCGGCCATCGTGTCTGTCGCTAGTGGCGACATCGAACATCGTGTCGTTTTCCTTATTTCATGCTACCGTCTATACCGGTCTACTTCATAGTCGAGCATGGCCGCGCGATGCTGATCCGTTGCGGCTTCAGTCAGAGGCCATGAGGCGGCGGTGAGGATGCTTCTCGACAAGGGCGTGGATGTCAACGCGCAGGGTGGACACTTCGGCAATGCACTCCAGGTTGCTTCATCTGGAGGCCACGAAGCACAAAAAATGTTAGCATGCTTACGAGCGATGTGTAACGCAGTTCCGCCACCGCAAGCAAGGACGATGGCCGACCCGCACCAGCCATAACCTTGCTATGAACGTCCGTACGGGATGGCGTTGCGAAGAAACATAAAGGTCATTGCATTACAGTATCGATAACAGGACGGCATGCAGCCTTAGATAGCGTAGTACCTTACTAAGCATAGCTACCATCAGATCTCTGCTCTACCCTTACCTAGCGCTCATAAGTATCGACAATCCAAACTCCTCATCACCTCGGGAATCGAGCTGAAGCACTTTCCGGCCTGGTGATTGCAATGCTCATGCAAGGAGCCGTTCGATGTATGACCGTACGACAGCTGTATCCCCAAGATATGCAGACCCTTTCTACCTTTGTATGTGCTTGCAACAATAGCATCCTTTAAGTAACACTGACTCCGCTTGCTGGAGCCTAGACTCGGGTCTTAGTGTTCTGTATTATGCTAGCTAGTCTTTGGCTTTTGCTATGCCCGCTGTGTAAGACCTGCCTACTCTGTTCTTTAGACGTTACATAACTTATGACATTCTCCTTCAACGAGCTAAATCAGTATTCGGCTACAGCTTGGTATATGTGTTGGTCGCGATGTGCTAGAGACTACAAGAACGTGGTAGGTCGGACGCGGGATTAACAGCGGGTCTGCGGGGCTGTAGGGCGGCGCTACAGTCTATCTCCATAGCATAGAAGCTTTCGCGTTAGCTATAGTCGTGCGTTACACTATGTCTCGAAGCTGCATGATGGCTGTATTAGAGGTTGATTGCGGTTTCGCTGCTAGGTGTGTTCGTTGTAATGAGCTTTACGGCAGGGCTTCAAACTTAGCCCTGCTCTCAATTTGAGTTGGTTTTGCATTTAGCACAGACGCACGACAACCTCTTGAGCTTAAGTGCAGTGCGCGGGATAGGATGGTAATATAGGCCTCGTTCGTCTCCTCATATTGGTTAGGTCCTAACACAAGTATAACACAAGTATTTAATTTGTTTGGTTATTTTACAGCTTCCTATTTGATTTATTAATTCGATTATCTGCAAATGAGTTATTAAATACTTGCAAGTATACTTGCTTGTTAGCAACTATGACTGCTAGTCTTTTTGATCTTGACGAGCCTGTTGGAACTAAAATCGAGTCCCCGATCGTAGTTAACGCCTGATAGCGCCTTCTGGACTTCCAAGCGAGCGCGTCTGATGAAGCACTTGGAGTTGATGAGCTGGAAGTGATTGCTGAATCCCTTATCTTACTGCGCAACCCAACTTGCTCTACGCATTACGATCTTTCCCCCGCTAATCCCCATCCTGCCATGATCTATAAGGGTTCTAGTGTAGTTGTACGGTTGGTGTCCTAACGTTCTAATAACACGTAATCTTCTGCACTTTTGAAGCCGATCCTTGCCACAAATCCTTTTGCTGGAATGCTCGATCTATAATCTCTTGTGTTGTAGGATGCCAGTTTTCGCACTGGAAGCGAATTCTATGCCTTTCCCATTTTTTCGCGGCTATGAGTTTGAAGATTGGTAGATAGTCCTTAGTTGAATACTTGAACTTGATGACAAGCTTTATCTTGATAGTCTCGGGATGTGGCGTTAAAAAGCTCTGTAGAAATTTCTTTAAGGCAGGCGCTGTCTTATAGATATACTGGAACCTGGAATTCAAATATAGAGGATAGAATTCCTTTCAGATCTGTTTTGAAACCAGGTTGAGGCCGTGCACTCCCTTGTCTTTTTTGCGAGTCTTATAGTGTCTCTTTAGTGTAGCCGGCCCGAAACCGAGGCAATGATCGTAGATGAGGAGTCGAATCTCTTCAAAACAACGTTAACTAAGTTTTATCTCTTTTGAACGTTGTGACGTACCCGCTAGTAGTTGAAGAAAACGAGGGAGCGGTTTTGAAGGGTTGTATCGCCCTTGCGCTACCTTTCGGAGCTGAGTATCTCTGTAAGATACATTTGAGGCTGGAGTTCTTAAGCCTATTCTCACGTCTGCTAACCTAGATGTCGATTAAAGAAGTGCTGGTGAGTGAAAATGGTGCGAAAGTACGTGTCAAGAGTGGCGAGTGGCAGATCAGATGGCTGTAATGAATTCACAGGGGAATATGCTGCGTAAGGGTAGTGACTTTGGGTGTGCAACTACTTCTATTTATATACCTGCAGAGCCCCTGACTTTTCGTTCTTCGTATCTAAGCGCTAGACGACTAATCGGGCATGCTATTTCGCGCGGGCTATGGATTACGAGATGCAGCTTGGCTTCATGCGTAGTAAGTCAGAGCTACTGTCCCTGTTCGGACTC